TTGTTGGCATGATGAATCATGGGTTGGAGAAGAAGAGAATAAATGTGTTGCTGTGGAGGACAGAGTCTGGAGACAGAAGGAATGAGAGAATTCCCCCTGCTCTCCATCAGCACAGGCTGTTCAGAGGTAAATACAACTGGGTTCTCCCCAGAGCTTCGTTATAGAGTTAATCCTGCAAGGTTCAACCCTTAGCTCCCAGCCCAGCAATGCGTGACAACTCCAAGGCAACACAAAAGGTTAATGCATCAGGGCTCTTGTGCTGGGATTGAAATCCTAATGAGCACACAGAGAGGAGGGGGAGATGCTTCATTAACCACACTGCCATGTTGTGGGGTGTGCCCATCTCTGCTCCAAGCCCCACCGAGCATCTCCTCATGTCTGGAGCCGTGGGGCTGCCCTGGCTCAGCACTGGGGGGGCCTTGATGCCTTGGAGCGGCCACCTGGAACAGAGGCTAGACAAGATTAAGAGAGTAAAAGCACATATTTATTAAAGACCTTCAATAGGTACACCTTGGGCAGTCAAAAGCCTCCAAGAGGGGCTACACCCAACACGGACAATGGTCACGAGTTTTTCAGACAATTGTAAGTTTGGTCCATTTACATATTACAATCCTCCAATTACAGCTTCAGCTAATGAAGAAATATACTCCCAGTTTCCCCACCCCCCCCCAATTTACTTTTTGTTTACACTTTTCAGGGCCTGAGGCAGTAGGGTGTCCTTGAGTTTCAGGCCCAGAGAGTTGTTTTGTATTCTGAATAAAATGGGAAGGCAGTAACTAACAGACTGTGGAGCTTTAGAGTTCTACACTAAAGAAGTACAGGCTCAGAAAAATATAAAAGCTAAAATCCTAAGGCATCAGCCTGACTGGACAATGTGTGCCTGTGGTGTACCCAGGGCTGGGCTGCCAGGTGTTTACTCACTGTGTGCACCTAGAGAGGGTCTGGAGGGGAATCACATGGGAGATGCAGCTTTGGAGCATCTCAGATGTGCTGGCACACCTGGGCTCTCACTGAGAGTGAGGTTTAGCAAAGCCATGGCACTGCAGGGCCTGGTCAGTGCCCTGAGGGTGCTCCAGGAAATAATAAGGGGATATGGTAGAATTCTGTGGCTGAAATCCATTCCATAGCCAACTTCCAAGAAGGCAAGAAGACTTGGAAAAGCCTGGGCTCCGTAATTGTAGTTACTGCTTTGGAAATAATCATTCCTACATTTACAGGCAACATCTCTCCCTCTTCTCCCTGTGCTCATTACAATTTGAATTATTTTACATTCCTACACTGTTATTTTACCGTTGTTCTTAGTCCCATGCAGGTGTGTCAGCTCCCCTGCATGGCCAGAAGTCTCTTGCAGAGTAAAAAATCTTTGATTTAGTTAAAAATGTCTTTCAAAACCTTCTTTCACTTCAGAAACAAATTGAAATGAATATGAATAAATCAGAGTCACTCTTGAGAAGCCAGCAGTACCTCACAGGTTTCCCCATATGCAGCTAGAGCCTGCTCTGCTCAGAAACAGCCCTGTATGTCCCTCTGCTCTGCTCATTCCAGTGCACATCTCACTGAAAGGAGATCTCTCCCCTTTCACTGTTGCTTTTCTTCCTTCTGCTTTTGCTCCACCTGAAGCCTCCTAAAGCCATTAGGAACAGGAGAGGGAAATCTTTATCACAGGAACAGACAGACAAGGAAAAAAATCCTGATCCCCTTTGAATGCAAAGATGGTGTTTCTCAAGCATTCCATTAACCCGGCTGTCCCCCGTGCCAAGCCCATAATGGGCAACAGGTAAGGAGATATTATCATTATAATGTCTCACTCTGGTAGATTTAAACATCCAGATGACATTTTACAAAACAAGCAGAGGTCAAGGGCTGCCTCTGGAGGGCTGGCTCTGGAGGGCTGGCTGTGACATCCAAGACAAGATCATGGAGAGAAAGCAAATTCAAAGGAAATGTGCAGTCCTAGGATTCCCTGGCATTGCAGCTGCTTCTGCCTCCTCGAGCAGCTGATTTTTTTTCAACATTGAATAAGTGATGGCAGGAGAGGTGGCTTAGGCACAATTTATGTGCAGGCACCCACCTCTCAGGGACCTTCCATCTGTTTCTGCCAGTGTCTTCTATAGAACAACAATTACTTGAGAAAGGGTTAAAGTAGACAAGAGATTTCCAGGAGTGCAGAATGCAAGAAGGCACAGTCAACACTTACCAGATCCTTGCAGAATCATGGAATTCCACTAAATGGCCCAAAACTGAGCCTGTTATTGGCTTGCCCTTTTTCCAAGGACAAGTCTGAGATTTCAGTGGAGACCTTGGAGAGACACTGCCTTGTTTCTGTTTTGTTCAGTCTAAAATCTTCAGTAGCTGGGATGTTTGAATCAGCTTTTGTGAACATCTGGATCACCCAAATTACCCACGTCTTTTTCAGACAAAGGAAGATAATAATAATGAGGAGACTCAGAGTGGGGTCCCTGGAAATCAGGCTGGGGTTGCAGCTCTCTACCACAATAAAAAAAAATCATTAAAACCTTTAAATGTCATCTTTTGTTCCAGTCAGAGACCTTTGCACATGTTCCAGTGGAAGTCATCGCCTTCCAAATACACACAGGAGCTGATGGAAATTTTGTTATGGCCCAACGATGCAGAAAGAAACTGGCAGTGAGATTTAACAAGGTCACTTCAAGGCACAGAAACCACTGTAAAATATGCTCATTTCCCACATGGCCAGCGAGGTGAGGGATAAATGTTTCACTCATAGGAAATAGTGATTTACAATTAATTTCCAAAGGAAGGAAATCCTTTTTTAATCAAAATAATTTATAGGGTTAATCTAAAGGCAGTGTTTGCTTGCCAGTACGGAAAGCCAGGCAAGGTGAAGATGGATGGGGTTTGTCCATGGGATTTGAATCAGCTCTGCACAGGAGGGCCTGTAGTCAAGGATACCTGTATTATTTATGGCCAAGATTTTCAAAAGGGAATAGTTGATCTTGCATCCCTTGGGTTTGGCTGCTCAGTGTGTGACCTGTGCAGAGCACCAGCCTCACTGAAAAATGGCCTTTAGAAAATCTATTCCTCACTATTTGTTTGTTGTGTTTGGTGCTCGTGGCTGGATGGAGGTGGAAAGAAACCCAGGGTTCTCCCATTTAATGCTGCTGGGTCAGAACTGGGCTGGACATAACAAGGAGTACAAGAACCTGCAGACTTCAGGTTCCATTGAGAAAAGGTGCTTAGAGAAATGCTAGGGGTTTTTTTGGTGGTTGTTTTTGGGAATGTGTGGCTGTAGCAGGTGACAGTGATGCTGTTTTAACCCCGGTGAGGAGTGATTGCCCCTCTGCTCCCCTATTGCTGGAGGTGCTCAGAGCTGCACAGGACCTGGCTCTCAGGATATATCCCACCCTTCAGCTCTGAGTTAATTTGATCTCACATCTGCTGCTTATTAAATTAATGCTGGATGGTTCCCTGGAATGAGCACTACAGATTTTTATAGCATGTACAGGTGCTCAGGTGCTGCGGTGAGAATCAGGACTCCGAAAGCAAAGCAGGCAACTGTACAGGAATCCATGAAGTGGGAAAATACCGTGTGGTTTGTCTCTGGAAAGGCTGACAATTGTTGAGGAAGAGATGAGATAAGAAAAACAAGACAAGTTGAGTTTGGTACTACACTGATGTTATTTATAATCTCACTACAGACCTAATTTCTCTTGTGACTTTAATCCTCCCCATTTGCAGTGAGCAATCTATTATATTGGAGGATATTTGAGATGCTTTGGGAGTAGGGAAATTATTATACATAAAATATGTAGCTAATATTATTAGAACGGACTCTGATTAATTTTGCAGCTGGCAACATTACCCCTGCCTGAAAATTAAATCCATTTGCTATCCGTGTGGAAGTAATTGTGTTAATATCAAAGCTAGTTTTGAAATAAAATGGGAAGAGCTCCACTCCACGTCTCCCATGCAAGGAATCAGGGATGTGAGATGAAGGGCTGGAGTGATAATTCCTTCCTAGCACAAGGAGTTGTCCTTTCCTCCACCAAATTTGCAAGACTTCAGCAGAGTTTTTTGTGATGTATTTAAGGTACATTTAAGCATATAGATAAATTCAAGTGACCTCGTCTCGGTCTCACCCCTGGTTTGCAAAATTGCAGACTCTAATATTTGTATTTGTACTATGTGTACAGCACCAAGCACAGCAGAGCCCTGTTCTCCTGGGCAGGTTCATCACCCCAGTAATTATTGACAGCAAAGATACGTGCCCAAGCCAGAAATATCTCAGTCTAATTACACTGGAGTGATTTTGAAAAGCAGTTGGACGAGATTAAAGAGACAGCTTTCGTTAATTAAGAACTGTTTGGGCTTCCGGTGCTATAAAGATCCCAGCTGGCCCCATATCCACCTCTGGCTGCAGCTGGGCTCCGGATCTCCCCCTTTATTTCTCCTGCAAAAGTTTTCCCCCCTGCAGCCTGTTTGCTGGAGCGCAGGGATTCTCTCCTCCTCCTCCTCCTCCTCCTCCTCCTAAGCGGGTGGTGGGCAGGTCTGACTACATTAAATATACAAACACGCTGTGCTCACTCTCTGCTCCAGAGGCATCATCGCTGGCCCATCAGCAGCAAAACCCGAGCAAAGGCTGCCCCAAGGGCTGGGGGAAGGCTGGAACAGCAGCAGCAAATAAAGCAGCAGCCAAGGAGCGGGGAGAGGAGCAGCAGGACAGCCCAGGGCAGCTGGGCACCCCAGCCCTTACACGAGCTCTCCGCAGCCCTTGCACATCACCTGGGAGTCAACGAGCAGCAGCGTCCCGGGAAAGAGCATCCTTCGAGGAGGAAGAGCGGGAGATCACTCAAAGAGAGAAGAGAAGGGAAAAAAACAAAACAAAACAAAGCACCAGCTGCTATCCCTTCCCAGAGGGAGAGAGAGCCAAAGGAGTTTAGGGTAATGAACCTGGAGGATCCAGAGACTCAGAACGGAAAAGTTGCCCTGACGGGAGACTCTGCACACTAAAGCTCTGCTCCACCATGGGATTTCTCGTGCCTAAGGGAAACCTCTTCCTCCTGCTGTGTGCCAGCATTTTCCCCGGTAAGTTTGAGAAAGCTCTTCTCCCCCTGCTCTGCTCTTCAGCTCTTTCCTCCCTTTTCTATATCAAAGACACGCTGCAAAGAACAGCCCCTGTCAACAGGGAATTTCCGTGACTCCTCCACCCTTCTGCCCCATCATTTCTGGTCCCCTGAGCACCAGCCGCTTTGCCTTTATTTTCTGCTCCTAGTCTGATTAGATGGAGAAAGGGTTAAAGCCACGGTGGGAAGGGGACAGGAGGGAGAATCCAGACGGGGGCTCAGCATCCCGCTTCTTGCCTGGGCTTTTTTTCCCTGGGTAAAGTGTGTTAATGTGTCTCGGGGCTACAGCTCCGGCTGGGGAGAGCACAGCCAGCGCTCAGCTAATGCTTCCCTTTGTATAATCCAGGGCAGCTAAAGCCTGAGTAGAAGCCGTATTCCAGGAGGGACGTGGGGAGAGCCCCCGGCTCCCTCTCCCCTCTCTCTGGTACCGCCGGCTCAGGAGTGCAGCTCCTCCGACAGCCCCTGGATGAAACGTGGCTTTAATTTTTAATAACCACAGGCACCTCTGGCAGCTCTTGGAGCCTGCATGAGGGGTCAGGGCTGCTCCTTGCATGGCATAACTTTTCAGGTTATGCCTGAGCAAAACTGGGATCTTGTTATCCAACTTATGCTCTCCACCATCCTCTTCCCATTGTTTTTGTGAAAAATCCACCAAGCAGGTTAAAGAGCTAAATTTCAGGCTGCCTTTTTACTTCTGATATGTGTAATGTAATTTTTTTATGTGTAAATCTGATCCAAAATTCCTATTTCCCAGCAGGAAGCTGCTTTTTCCTTTTTGGCTTGTCCTTCTAGCATCCCTCTTCCCTGCCTGCAGACTCCAGTGCTAAAAACTTGCCACAAAGTGGCCATAAAAATTAGACCAGATTCAGGGAAGAATGGCTCATGTAGTATTTTCTAAATGGTATTACTGGTGCCCCCATTTTCTTCAGACCAATCCTGCTCTGTAATTGTGGGTGAATAGAGTGAGGAATACTTATCCATGTCAGGGAGAGAGGGGTGACAAATCACCTGAGTAACATCACCCTCCTGTGTGTCCCCAAATGCCCATCACTGTGGTTTGCTGGAATTTCCCTCTGGAGAAGGCTCCAGCTATGCCAGCCCTTGGATCTGCAGGTGTTTCACTCCTTGCCCACAGCCTTTGGCCACGTGGAGACCCGAGCCCACGCAGAGGAGCGGCTCCTGAAGAAACTCTTCTCTGGTTATAACAAATGGTCCCGTCCCGTGGCCAACATCTCGGACGTGGTCCTGGTGCGCTTCGGCCTGTCCATCGCCCAGCTCATCGATGTCGTAAGTGCAACCTCTTTGTGCAACAGAGGCTGAGATTAGCCAGGCTGGGGCCCAGGGAGAGGCTCCTGGTGCATGTGGGCTTGACTGGCCGATCCAGGGTTGGGGTGGGAAGGCTCTGCCATCAGCAGAGAGTGATCAAGCAGACAGAGCTGGTGGAACATGGGCGACTCATGTGAGTAGCTGGTCATCAAAGTGGATCCTTTACTCTTCATTTGCTACAGGCAAAATCCCAAATTCCCTATTAAAATCCACAGGACAGATCACAGCAGGGCAGTGGAGCCCCTGGCATAAATGCCAGAGAATTCTGGCAAAAGAATAAATCAAATACCTAATTTGGAATTTGAGCCATGTACATTAACACTAATTTACACAAGCTAATAGGGACAGTGCTTTGCACACCTTGGGAAGAGAGATTGCCTGAAGAGATTTCTGCAAATGAAAGTTTTGAGCATTTTTAGCTAATCTGGCAGATATTAACAAGAAAATTCTTTGAGTGTTTGCTCAGACAGAAGTCACACATGTGCAAACTGTATATGCCTGGTACAAAACAGAGAGGTCTGCATGCAGACTGATGTGCACTGAAACAGCATTTATGGGATTATTCTGGCACAGTGTGTTGGGGTCAAGTGTTACACAAAGGAGGTCCCTGCAGGGCTGCAGATGCCAGACACACTCACAGGCTTTAGAGCTTGTGCACCTCTTCCTCCTGTATTTTTCTCCTTGCTGTCCCTATTTGCATGTGGCACTTCCCAGGAGAGTGTCCATACAGCTGCACACTCCTTGAGCAGGTATTGGGCTGGGTTTCACAGGATAGTTTGGGTTGGAAGGGACTGTTAAAGGCCATCTTGTCCAACCCCCTTATTTTTCAGAAGATGGGACTCCCTGTCACTTTTTACTGTAGTCATGTGGCAGAGTGAAAGGGGTGATAATGCTCCAGCCCTGGAAATGTTCATGGCCAGACTGGATGAGGCTTTGATCAGCCTGGTCTAGTGGAAGGTGTTGGAGAGGGTTGGAACTGGATGAGCTTTAAAGCCTCTTCCAATACAAACTATTCTATGATTTCTATGACAATGGAAAGAATAATGCAACCTAAAGACATTATTGGTGTGGGACAATCATAACAGATGACTCTCCACACAGTTTTATATTATGAAATCAGATTTTGGAGATGAAAAGGAAACAGCTGAGATGGTTCAGGAGGTGGGGAGTCAAAGACACCAGTGGCTGGAGAGTCTCATCTCGTGCAGAAGCCATCCACTTCCAGCTTTGCAGCACAGCAATGGTCTCCATTCCCCTCCTCACTCTTGCGTCAGCCCGAGGGATCCAGGGCTGTTTGCAGTTGCTAATGTTGAAGTTGCATGGTTCTCATCTGAATAATTGATAAGACTAAAGATGAGACATTAGTGACTGTGGAGGCATGAGAGAGACTTTCCATTATGCAGCTGCTGAATCGTGGAAGGGGGGGATCGATACACCTGCTCCACAGTGCTTTCCCAGTTTACTTAAGAAAAATTAATCTTCTTAAAACCATGTCAGTGGTTAGAAGTGCAACTCGCAGGCAGAGCTGTGCTGGGACCTGTGGGCATGGCTGGAGGAGAGCTCTCACCCCTCCTGCCCCAGTCTGTGACTGGTGACACTCCTGCCACCACCGTGGCTCTTCAGCTCCTCTCCCCCTACCCAACAGTGACAGTTTTGGTGCAAACCCCGCTGCAATTGTTAGACACAATGCTCAGCTCCCAATGACAAGGAGTCTGAAAGGGAAATCAGAGCTGTATTCAAACCCCAGCTCCTGCTGACAAAAGCTGGGGATAGGGGAACAGAAATCAATGGGGAGCTCTACATTCCTGCATGTCCTCACCTCACCCTGGATTGCCGAGGGTTTTCTGGGACCAGAAATACGGGGGAAGAGATCAAATGTGTGTCCAGGAGCAGCCACCAAGAGACACACTTGGACTCCTATGCCTGTTTGTCTGCAGGACCTCACGTGCTGTGTTCACCTTGAGAGAAGGGACCAGGTAGTGCAACAGCCCCATGGCTGGGGAGTCACTGCTGTCCTCTGGGCTGGCTCCATGAGGAGCACCCAGCTGTGCCAGCTGGGGAGGAGCTTGGTCATTGGCACATTGCAAACCCCTCTCAGATAATCCCGTGGGACTGGAGCTGTGCTTCCCTCGGGTCAGGAGGATTATGTGGTGATGGGCAGGATCTTCCACAAAGGGTAGTTCCAGGGAGAATTCCAGTAAAAGGCAGCACCTGCTACACCAGGATGCTCAGTGCAGGGGCTGTGGTGGAGACCCTCAGATGCTTGAATTGCAAAGTGGTAAGAGAAGCAGGTACTCAAGGCTTGGTCCAGGTCATGGCATTCTTCATCTTCCATTGACACCCAAAGAAGCAGCTGGGTCTTTTCTCTCTCTTTGTTTCTCACTGGAGTCTTTTTGTATTCCTCCTTCCTCCATGTGTTTCTCAGCCCTAGCCCCAGAGGAGAGAATCTCTGCTCAGGTTTTATGTCTGGTGCCACAACAGCAATGAGGAGGCTCAAGGGAGGAGGAGGCAGAGCTACCCCCAAACTTCTGGGTTTTAATGTTCACAATCAATCCTGAACTGCCATAAGAGCAAGGTTAATGATGAGCAGTTTGCTGTCAGCTGAGCCCTGCCAGCTCAGCTGGGTTTGATGCTAACCAAGGCAAGAGATAAAAAAAAAACCCATGCAAATAAATCCTGAGCTGTGATGAGACACTTCAGTCCAGACCAGCACTAGGCTCTGCCCCACATAATTCATCTGAGCTACTTACAGAGGGCACAAAAGGCAAGCAGCAAACAGTAATTAACCCTACTGCAGTGCTCCTGGCATTATAAATGCCTGACATTATTTAAATATGTACATAAAGTCTTACCTTTTTTGTGCATAGAGTTGAGAAAAACCAGGCTGCCCAATAATGTCAGCAGAGCAGCCGGGGTTTATTCAGAAAATCCAATCCACAGTGCCACAAGTTGTATGTATTTGGTAGAAGGAGAAATGCTGCTGAGCTTCTTGTTTCCAGAAGTGTGTCCATGGATAATGTTTCACAGGAGAACACCCTTGCAGGTGAAGCTGAGCACTGGAATCCACCACATGTGTGTGAGTAAGGGTTTATATATCCATCACTCCCTTCCTTCAGTGCTCAGGTCAAAGGCAGGCTGGGGAGCTTTTTCCTCTACCTGGTATCATCATCCCAGGCTGAATCCATCAGCACTGAGTAAAATCCCAATAAATTCCATTCCATCTGCTCACAGGATTGCTTAGGTGCAGGCTCAGCTGTTCAGTGGTATCAGACAGCTGTGCCCTGTCCCATGTCAAATGACAGAAACATCTGCTTTTTATTTCCAAGACTGAACTTACATTTATTGCAGAGGTGATTTTCAATTACATAAATGAAATACAATTAAGGGAAATTAAGAGGGTTCTTTGGGCGTCTTAATCTGCTCCTGTAACCAATATCTGATCTTGCATTTCAGGATGAGAAAAATCAAATGATGACCACAAATGTGTGGGTGAAACAGGTGGGTGCCCCCAAATATGTGTTTTTCCATGTCTCTTTTCAGTTTTTATGCTGAACTCTCCCCGCTTTGTAACCACCTCATTTTTGGCAGGAGTGGCACGACTACAAACTGCGCTGGGACCCCCAGGAATACGAAAATGTCACATCCATCCGAATCCCCTCGGAGCTCATCTGGAGGCCAGACATTGTCCTTTATAACAAGTGAGTGTGAGCACTGTGACCAGAAGGAGAACCCATCCTTGCAAATTTTCTCTGTTCATGAGGTTAAAATGTTTCCTGCAATTATTCCACTTTATTTTGTTCTCTGTGGTTGGAGTTCATGTAGATTCTATAACATGCCGTAAATGACATGAGTGACATTCATCACAAGGGCTTTGCTCCCCTGATGATCCTTCCTCTGGGCAGCCAGTTGTGTTGGGGGATGCCAGGTATTGTTTTCTCTTCACATGTCAGATGCACAATTAAGCTGGATTTGAGCTTTCAGTCCTCTTCAATTTCATTTCACCCAGGAGCTCTCCCCTAATTCATCACCATCAACTGGAAAAGCCAATTACTGAGGATGGGCTTAAATAAGGAAAATATGCTGAAACATGTCAGGCTTGTGCAGCTACAGGGGTTTCAGGTCAGCTAAATACCATTCTGGAATGATTTCTAAATAGGTATTTGTTCCTCATCGAAGATGCTTGGAATCTGTCCCTTGTGAGGAGAGATGGACACTTCCTAGGGAGCAGGTTGTGGTTCTCTTTCTTTCTTTTGGAGCCTGTTGATATTCTTAGAAATGCTGCCCAAGTGCCAAGGCTGTTTTCTCCCTGGAGCCCCCAGCACAGCTCTCCAGTCCCCCAGGATGTAAGATATCCCAGTCCTCCACCCCAGCACAGGCTCCAGAGAAAACACTTGCTGCAGGCATCAAAGAAAAGCATTTTTGCATGTGGCTGACACTCAGAAAACCCTCACAGCAGCAGCCAGGCTCGGTTTTAATAAACAGTCATCTGGTTCTAGCTTGATATGATTTTGCTTCTGTTTAAAAACCAAAATAAATGGCTGAAGCTGGAATCTGCCCAGGGGATTGTGAGCTTTGGAGACTACAGGGGCTGTTATCTTTCCCATTAGCTCATTCCTGATCCTCAGTGGTGTGAAGTGATTGCAAACCTCTTGGAAATCACTGCATCCTCACTGAGCACCTTTCGGAGATTAGCCCCATGGAAATGACTCATTCAGAGGCACTTGGACCTTCCTGCCCTCCAGGGACACACTCTGAGCATGAGTATAGCCTTGCAAGTGCCTCACTTGGCAGCCAAGAAAGGTGTTCACAGCTTCCACTACGAAAAAATATAATGACCTTGTCATTCTTGTTGTTAAATTAATGACAATGGCAAGGATTATTATTTTTGGTGCTTCTGGTGGTGTGGTGGACCATGGTGCCAAAGAAAATAATATGGCACAAATCCCTGCATGACCTTTGTGCATCAAACCATCCTTTGGTTCTACTGGCACAGAAGAACCTGATGTGTCACCTCTGCTTCCTCTGCCTTGGCTCAACACGGTTGATGAGGATGGTCCATGCAGGAAGGAGGGGCCTGGAAACAGGGAATCACAGAATGACAGAATGGTTTGGGATGAAAATATCTTAAAAAATATCTTAAACATGATCTCACCCACCCCCAGTCAAGGTATCCTTCAAGCCTCTGGGCATTTTGGGGTTTCATGCTGAAGACATCCCCCAGATGTCCAGGACACCCAGACCTTGAGCTGGGCAGCCTTTGGCTCCTGCCCCTCTCATGCTCTGCCCCTCTGCTCTCTTGTTGTTCACTGTTGCTTCACTTGAGTCTCTACAGGGACTCCAGGGGTCTGATCTCCTGGCCACAGCAGCTACTCCAGAATGTCTTTCTCAACCTCTTCTGGGCAGTGAGAGTCTTTCAGTCCTGCCCACCTTATTGCTCTGACTTGCAGCAGCAAACCTGACTGTCCTGGGACCTGCTGACACAGGGAGATCTCATTCCCCAGATCTCCAAATCCAAGCTACTTCCCTCCTTTGATCCATACTTAGCATTAATAACCATGCATTCATCTGTTGGTTGTCATGAGTCTATCATGCATTTTTAATTGGTTACTTTATCCATGAATTAAACATGGATGTAAGCTAGGCACCAGACATTAGTGGGTTTCCATTAATCCCATATGTCTTCACTGCTATATTTCCCTTTGTTCTTATGCAAAGTGTTTTCTACACCAAGATGTACTTCTCTCTTCCACCTAACTTCCTACCAAGCCCATCTGGAGCTTCAGTCAGTGTCTTCATCAGGTTTCAAAATTTTTAGGGATTGCAGGGCAAATGCAAGGCAAAACCTCCAGAGCAGTGGGACACCAAGGTGAGGCTCTTCTGCACAGCATTTCACCAACTGCATTCCCAGCCAGGGCTTCCCCTGGTGGGCATCTCAGCTGGAAATTATAATAATTAGTGATGCTAACAAGGAGTCCATCTCATATTTTACACAGATATTTATAGTTTAGAGGGAGTTTAACATAACTGCACATGAGTCTGGGTCCCTGAGAGCAAGAGAATGTGCAGAGAAACCTTGGTGGGAGGGAGTGAGAGGCCACACTGACCTTTGGCTGTCTTCAGGCTGTCTAGTGTGAGCTAATTATTACTTATCACATGCTCTCGCAGAAATATGGTATTTCTGTTTGGGATTGACTCCTTTAAGAAAGATTATACAAATAGCCCTTCTCTTTTCATCTTGGGCTAGGTACAGAGATGGAGAAATTTCCACTGATTTCAGATTTGCATCTTTAAGGAAACCTAACCCTTTGTTGTGAGGTTACTCTCATATCTTGGCTCATTATTGTAAAAAAAATTCCATTTACCCACTCTAGAGACCCAAATTAAATCAGTAAATTCAGCTGGTTTGGCCTAGAGACTAAATGTAGTTTTCAACATTCATAAGGAATCTGAAACCAAATTAATATCCTACAGGGAAATTAATATGCTGTTGAATTTTCAGGCTTGATGAGTTAAGTTCCAAGATTCTGCAGATAGTTTCTACTGGATGTGACACAACATACATATAACAGAGGAATATGAGTTCATAGTGAAGTGACAAAGCCTCCTCTTTGCCAAGAAACCAGACTGTTCCTTATCTGAGGTATTAAAGGCTCTTCAGGCACCACCAAATCATTTCTAAATGAATTATCTAATCCTCTGCATTTATTTGTTTTTCCACTCATGACTGACTTTGAAGCACATTTTAGTTTTTCTTTGTATATTGTGAAGTACAAAAAAATGAATTGTATTTTTTTCTCTAATGAGGGAATAATGAGCTCTTGGAGGTTGCATTTCTTTGTTTCTGGAGGGGGGAGGGTTTTGGTGACATCCTCCCCTGGGCACCCAAGAAGTTTTGTACCCAATTTGCCAAGATCCTGGAGATATTTAAAACCCAACTAGGTAAGGTTCTGATCCTCTTGTAGCTGACCTGCTTTGAGCAGGGAGCTTTGGGCAGGAGACAGTTCCAGAGGTGCCTTCCAAGCAGTGCATTTGAGTTATCATTTTGTAGCACAAAACCATAGTTAAACAAAATATTTTCTGGTTTCCCTTTGGAGAGAATTTTAATATGAACATTCCAGAAGCCTAATGTGTACCAAAAGGGTGCAGGCTCCTAATACTACAGTTTTAGTTTGTTACTGCTCTTAAAGCATTTTTCACTAAAGTGAGGATATTCTACTATATCCATATATGTGCATAGATAATTTTCAGGCTTTTAAAGGTCTGTTTGAATTTAAATTACATCATCAGAAATTAAAATAAATGTGTGCCTCGTTTATGTGCATTCTGAAAACAATTTTGTAGGATGGTGTATCTCCCAACTGCAGGCAAATAGGAAGTAGCAAAAGAAAATGAAAATTCTCCATCAGCATAGCTTTTTAGTGGAACATGGCTACTAGATGTCAGTAAAGCAATACCATCCTTAAACCCTTATAAACTTAGGAGATTTAGAAGAGCAACCTTTATTCTCAAAATGAGAAATCAAAGGCTGCAGCACACAGCAGCTTTTTCCTTGGGAAAAAAATAAATAATTGTCTTCTCTCTTTCTTGGTGTGCACTGCTGTGTTTGACATTAAAAAATATAAGAGCTCTAGTTCTTTATGACTGACATATTTTTAAAGCTGTCAGGTCAGAGTAACCAGGAGGGCCTGACTATCTGAATTCTCCAGTTCTTGTGATGTTTACCTTGCACTCACGCCTTCTTCCAAATGGATTTTCATGACAACTGTCACAACAGAGTGGTCTTCAGTGAGAGAGATGAGAAAGTGCTACTGCTCTAAAGGAACGTCTGCAGATTTTCTCTGTCCCACTACATTAGGTCTCCCACCTTTCTTGTCTAAGGCAATGTTCAGGTGGTGCAGTCAGGGCTGCAGGAACAGGAATGCGTTTTCCCACAGCAAAGCTGTCCAAAGGAACACAGGGTTTCCCCAACCTCCCAACTGCAGACTGTGTTTGCAGTTGATTGTCTCACCTTCATCCCTTTGGAGGGAAAGACTTTGGAAGGCACTCAACAGCCAGGTGACCTCGTTTGCTCCCTCTCTCATGTGGAGAGGAGCAGAATCAAAGTCTTACAAAGGAGGGGAGAGAGAATCTCTCCCGGCTCCCCTGCATGGGCAGGGTGCCAGCAGGCACAGCTTCCAATCCAGTAAACATATGCTTGAAGGTCTAGTGTGGGTGGGAATCCTGGGGAAGAAGGCAAAAATATATTGGATGCATGAAGAGTGAGACAAGTGGGAACACTGCCTTTGCATGATGTGGCTGCTTGGGATATATTCTATGTACTCAGCATGGCTGATTCACTCTGCTTACAAATTCCTCTGCATTGAACTGCAATGAGAAGTGAAACTCTCTCAATAAAGTCAGGAATTCTTTGATAGCCCTGGTAGGCTGGTGAGGCAGGAGCATCCCAGGGTGTTTTATGGCTCCTCAGAGTCAATAAGTGACTAAATCCAAGGAGATGTTCTGCAGCTGGTTTCACTCTTGCCATGGCACTGCAGGCTAAATCCATTGGAAGGCAGTGCCACGGTTATTTGTAAAAACATGTGAGCCAAAGGGGACCCAGGATGAAGCTGGGTTTGTTAGGCGAGCAATTAAAAAATTAAAAAAAGATGTTGCTCATTAAAAAGCAGATAATTTACAGAAACAAGTGACACACAAGATCTTCAGCATCACAATGGTACCATCTACAGATCTTCTGCAGAAGAGAAGTGTGGTGATGACACAGAAACTGCAAAACTGCCAGGGAAGGCATTTCTGGGAATGAAACACAGTTACATGAATTATTATCATCCCTGGATGCCATTTTAGTAAGAGTTTTGCATTTGTTTTGTTTTCCCAAGAGATTTCAAAGAAAAAATGCACACCAGTGTTTATCCAGGCACTTACACGCTGCTCTACCTAAGAAGGGAAACACTCATAGTGGATGCTCATAATCCCTTTTCTCTAATAAGATCCAATTAAAAATATTGCTCCATTAATGAGAGATTTAATCATGCCTCAGAGATATCATTAAATGCAGAATCTGATTCCATATTCCTATTGAGATTTAAAAAGAAAACCACCAAGAACAGCAAGCACTGGACTGTCACTTGCTGTGCTTGTTTCATGTCTCAATCTGACTTTACTGTGCTCCTGGAAAAACACAGGAGAAAAAGAAAAAGGTGGTTCTCATCCAAATCACATGTTCTGGAGTGTAAATTAGATTTAAGAAAGAAGAGGTAAGACAGGAGCTGGATGGATTGTACAGTGACTCAGGTTTGTTTGCTTCAGAGTAGATCACTGTGCTGATTTTGTCTTAATCCCTTTGTGAGAGTCTTGTATGTAGTTTCCACTTTTTCTTTTTAAGTGTTTTCAATCTTTAGAAAAAAATCCAATTTAGAGGTCAAAAAGCATTATGTCCTTTTGTGATCTTTTGGTTTTTCAAAAATGTGCCCCAAAGAACACAAAGAACAAAGAAGAGTTTAGTAAAACCTGGTTCTCCATCACACAAGAATTCTGAGTTTATTTTTCCATCACTTCAAGCAACCTAGAAAATTGTCTCAAGGACATCTGGGCTGTGATCCTGAGGATTGGGGATGTTTCCATCTCTCCCAGAAGCCGTGTTAGCCAAGGCAGCTCAGCAAGTGCCAGATCCTGCCACTATTTCCCAATACTACACCAGTCTCATTTTTAGGATATTTCACAGGGCGAGTGGAAATAGGTGATGTGAGTTGTGAGACCCTGGCACAGGCTGCCCAGAGAAGCTGCAGCTGTCTCATCCCTGGAATTGTTCATGGCCGGACTGGACGGGGGTTGGTGCAACCTGGTCTAGTGGAAGGGGGGGAAAAAAGAAACTTCCATAGCAGGGAATTGAAATCAGATGGTCTTTAAGGTTCTTTCCAACCCAAACCATTCCATGATTCTATGAAACCAACCCCTACCACTGTGTGGCTGCTGTCAGGGCACATCTGGGCACTGAAGCAGCAGAGCAGGGCCCAGGGATTTTTGGCGACTGCCGGGGACGTGGCTTCAGGCTGGGCTGGGCAGGAGCAGAGAGCTTTCGAGCTATAGCAGCCTGAATAATTAATCTCAAGTTTTTAGCAGCATCTCTCTTCCCCTGCACAGCCTGTCCTTTTTCTGGCAGTGCTGCTATTTGTAACTGGAGTTCTTCCTCCAAAAGTCTGAAAAATACAATTTATTTATGCAATTCCAATACAAACTCCTGAGCTGTTATCTATTTATCTGATAACCCCCAGCTGTGAGAAGACACCACAAAAGCCAATTCTCTTCCTGACAGGGAAATCAAAAGATTAATGTTCATTATTCCTATTAATAGGATGTTCTTGATGGTTTTCACATAAGAGACTGGGTGATTACCCAACACTCCTTCATTTTTAACAGCTGTCACAAATAATTCTGCAGAGCCCCCAGCTACACTATCTGATAGTACTTCCTCCCACCTCTAAAACAAACCCAACCCATTCCAGAGCACATCTGGGACACTTTTGGGGAAAACCTGTGTGCAATCACATCAATGACCTGACTTACACCAGGGGAAGGCTGACATGTGCATGTGAATTCCAGGGCTTTTGAGCCAAGAGCTCAAAATTCACTGGACAGAGTAGATGGATCTGGTGTTTGGACGTGATGTGCCTTTTGCATCTCTCAGGTCATCTGGAAGCCAGGCACTAAATATCCTATTTCCTTAACAGAGTTGACATGTCCTAGAGAAGTCTGAGCCTTTTTTCTTATCTTCCATCTGTCCCCAGTGCTGATGGTGACTTTGCAGTCACTCACCTGACCAAGGCTCACCTCTTCTATGATGGAAGAATTAAATGGATGCCCCCTGCTATCTATAAAAGCTCCTGCAGCATCGATGTCACCTTCTTCCCCTTTGACCAGCAAAACTGCACAATGAAGTTTGGCTCCTGGACCTACGACAAAGCCAAGATAGACTTGGTGAGCATGCACAGCCATGTGGACCAGCTGGACTACTGGGAGAGCGGGGAGTGGGTCATCATCAACGCTGTGGGCAATTACAACAGCAAGAAATATGAGTGCTGCACAGAGATCTACCCCGACATAACTTATTCCTTCATTATCCGGAGGCTGCCGCTGTTCTATACCATCAACCTGATCATCCCCTGCCTGCTGATCTCCTGCCTGACCGTCCTGGTCTTCTACCTGCCCTCTGAGTGTGGAGAGAAGATAACCCTGTGCATCTCCGTGCTGCTGTCGCTCACTGTGTTCCTGCTGCTCATCACAGAGATCATCCCATCCACCTCCTTGGTCATCCCTCTGATTGGGGAGTACCTCCTCTTCACCATGATATTCGTTACCTTGTCTATCATCATCACTGTCTTCGTGCTCAACGTGCACCACCGCTCCCCCCGCACCCACACGATGCCAGACTGGGTGAGGAGGGTCTTCCTGGATGTAGTCCCACGGATCCTTTTCATGAAACGTCCCTCCACAGTGAAGGACAATTGCAAGAAGCTCATTGAGTCCATGCACAAAATAACCAATGCACCGAGGCTTTGGTCTGAGATGGATGTGGAACCCAACTTCACTACCTCATCCTCCCCCAGCCCCCAGAGCAATGAGCCAACACCCACCTCCTCCTTCTGTGCCCACCTCGAGGAGCCAGCCAAACCCCAGCCCATCTGCAAATCCCCCTCAGGGCAGTACTCTGTGCTGCACCCAGAGCCCGTACAGGTGACCTGCTCCTCTCCACAGCCCTCCTGCCACCTCCTGAGAGACACCCAGGCCACCTCTGCCTTGAAAGGCAGGTCGCTGAGTGTCCAGCAGATGTACAGCCCCAACAAGGCAGAGGAGGGGACAATCCGCTGCAGGTCCCGGAGCATCCAGTACTGCTACCTGCAAGAGGACTCTTCCCAGACCAACGGCCACTCCAGTGGCTCTCCAGCATCCCAGCGGTGCCACCTCAATGGGGAGCAGCCCCGGCACAAGCCCCCCCAGTGCAAGTGCAAGTGCAAAAAGGGCGAGGCGGCCGGAACAGCAGCCCAGGGGAGTAAGAGCCACTGCGCCAAAGAGCAGCACCTCGTGCTGATGTCCCCAGCCCTGAAGCTGGCAGTGGAAGGGGTTCACTACATCGCAGACCACCTGCGGGCAGAGGATGTGGATTTCTCAGTGAGTATTCCAACAGAGCCTGCTCTCCTTCAGAAAGTCAAAAATGAGCTGCTAAGGGAGCTGCAGCAGACCTTGAGCTGTGCTGAGTGTGAACATGTTGAGGCAGGATCAGCCATCTCTCTTGTGGGTTTTGGCCACTGTAGGAACAGCTGGAGATGTCCTTGGGGTCTTGGAATGAGGGCCAAGGGGGCAGCACAACCAGATCATGCTCAGGGCTGCTCTAGAATGATGAATTCTCCAGCAGAAAATTGGAGTAAAGTTGTTGTTAGGCAGCAAAGTAGCAGTTAGGCTTGTAAGAGACCCAAAACACTGCCATCTCACAGGAACAGAGACTTCCTCCTTATTTAAGCCTGACAAGTAGGTAGTTCACACTCTCTGCTTTTCATTAATCGCTGACTCTGACTGTGGAGCCCAGGAAAGCAAATTGCCCAAGCAGGCCGTGGGTGTGGGAAGCTGTGGTAGCGTGGGGATACTGCAGGGTCTGTGTAGCTCTGCTCATGTATTGTGATGTGATCCCTCATTAGTAGACTTCCACTGGAGCAGTTGGCTCTGTGCAGGGAGGTAGGGAAACAAATTTCCTGCATATTCTGTGGGGGTAAATATGGCTACAGATAAAAGGAGTAGAGGCTGCAAAGATTTCTTTTCATGGAGATAGTGATGCACATAAATTCCACATCCTTTCACAGCTCTTGTAGCTCTTTCCTGCAGGACTATGGATACTGTGTGCTAGTAATTATGACCATAATGAAGGAAGGCACAAGATAACCTGAAGTTAGTCATCTTATTATAGAAAAGCCTTATCTACCTTTTCCTGGGCAGATCCATATGCAAAAGGTGCTTTTTAGCTTTGTCTACAGTTTAAAATTCTTAAGATTTAGAATCAGTGCAAGTCATAGTGTGTTTATACAAGACTTCCTGAGCATGAAGAGTGTCTTTTATTTGCATTTTTCACAGCTCTGCATAGCAGCAAGGAAAGCTGAAATACTACTGTCCATTTCTATACTCTTTATTATCATAGTTAGGGTCCCTGTTCTTCAATTGATTTTACTTCCCAGCTTCCCTTTGAGGAAGGAACTGTTAATTCCTTGTGTTGAGGAGTTACAGCCAAAACACAAACTTCCTATTCAAGGTCACAGAACAAATCTGTGGCAGAGATGGGCTGTGAATCCTCATCTTCATTAGTTTCCAGTCCAAAACTCCTTGCCAGGGTAAAGCACTTCAGAGGCACATTAGGAGTGCAGGAATTAAACTCTGCTCTCTCCCTCTGGCAATAATCACAAGTAAACCCTTGGATGTCAGTTGAGTTTAGCTCAATTTTTTCCCCATGGTGCAAATGAAAAAATATTACACCAGTAATACTTCCCATTTCAAATGGTTCTCCCTGCTGAGCTGGTTGGTGTTAACAAGAATGGTCTCAATTAATATTTTGGGTTCCTTCCTCTTAATTTTTTTTAATGAAGCAGACTTCAAAAGCCACAATTTTTCTTCTGATACCTTCTGCTGCTCTACCCTCTTGAAATTAAGTGATCATCCTGAGGAGAAAGCTATTTACAGCACTAAACATCAAAAGCAGAAGGAGCAACGTTGAGCCTTTGGTCTCTGACCCAACCTCCTGCCAGCCCAGGCTGTGAGGAAAAGCACCAGGAAAACATCCAGCAATGAGCTGTGGGCAGGATTGTGGGCTCCCCTGGGGACTCGGGGTGACCTTTCTCTGCTGTTCCACAGCAGCTTGGCACAGAAGGAAGAGCCTGAGTTTTCAGATTGAGGGGATAATGCTGACTCCATTGTGGGGCTGCACTATTTTCTCTCTCTGGACCCAAGTAATATAAAGTAGGAAAGTACAGTTTTTTTCCTCCCAGTGGAAATGAAAAAGAAGAAGGAAAATGATCTTCTGGAACTGAAATATACTGTGAGGAGCAGAACTGATCTAATAAAATGAGAATTTATTGGGGAAAAAAATCAGTAGTCAGAAATTTGCTTTCATCTTAAAATCAAATTGTGGTATTTCTTCATGGAAGTCTTCAATAAATCTATCAGCAGGCACCTTTAATGCAGCTGCTGAGACACATCTTGCTGTCTTGTGGGCAATATTTCCAGAAACATTCACCTTCTCAGAAGGAGAACAGAGCTTCTTTTAAGTTCCTGTCTTTTTTTTTTTTCTTTTTTTCTTTTTTTTCCCCTCTAAAACTCCATTGCCACAGGGGCAGTGCTTCTAAATTAAAAGTAAATAGCTCATTTAATTAAGTGCTCCAGCAAAGAGAAAATGGGAAATGCAAGAGGCAGTTGTTTGTTACAGAAAGATATCTGCAAAAGAATACAGGCACAATGGGGCGCTGGGGAAAACGCACGGCGGAATTGTCCCGGCATATGATGGAAATGCCATTAGAAATTAATTACAGACTGAAAGGCAAAACAAGTTCCATGCCACACATCAGCCAAAATAACCAGACACCACCAGCACCATCTGGGAAGTCATTCTGCCCATGGCTGTGTGCATCTCCGGAATACTCTGATGTGAAGACATTTAAAAATAAAATGGGAAGGAATAAAGCTGAGGGGAGGAAACAGGATAATCTCACAGGGTTATTTTTAACAAAATACAATAAAACCACCTGGGACTGCTCTAATCTGTGTTGCAGACTCTGGGTCCTGGCGATCAGATGTCACCAAGGCACCTCGATCCTCCACTCAAATCCTGAGGCTCAGACCCACAAGGAGCTGGACCAGGGAAGAGCTGCAGATTCCCACTTTTTGGGAATTTGAGAGTAGGGGAGTCAGCTGATTCTTCCCCTGATTGTTTCCCAAAAATAATTTTGAGTGAGCTTCTTAAAAACTAATCAAAACAGAGGTCAGGAGTTGTGGTGGCAGATGCTGACAGCTGCATGGATGTCAGAGAGACGTCTGCGGATCAGACTCCACGTGGGCTGCTGGACCACAAGGAAATGCTACAACAGTGGCAGAACACAAAACAAAAAATCCAGATAATTTTCTCTCCCTCATCCTCTTTTTCTTTCCTTTTTTTCATTATCTCCCCATAATTTCCAATTTCACCCTCTGTGCTCTCAGTCTGAAGCTGGATATTGATTTTACAAACATCTGATGCACTCCCAGCCATCATTTTCAAGATGGGCTCAGTATTTCTGCATACACCATTACATTAGAAAGCAAATTCCTGTCCAAGTTGTTCTTCTCCCACTTTCTTCTTCTTTGCTCAGAGAGAAACTCATCAAGTTTCTTTTCTTTGTGTGATCAAGCACTTATTTTTACTAGCATAAATATTCAAAGAAAGTTATTTTACCAGAAGGAGGCATTATTTACTCAATCCAGCTTTCCAGCTGAACATCAGGTGGGAATTTCAGATTTGCTTTACACATTGGTTATATCATAGGACATTAATCCCATAAAAACAATCATCCAGAGCTTGCTTAGATGCCTTTCCCATGAGGAATTTTAAGCATCTAAGACTCCAACTCTCAGCAAGTGATGAATAGGTCAGAAAATAGGTGCAGTAAAAGGGTGTTATCCACTGAGCTCTTATCACAGAATTGTAGAATCACAGAATGGTTTGGGTTGGAATGGACCTTAAAGCTCATCTCATTCCACCTGCCATGAGCAGATCCTCATCCAACCTTTCCTTGAACTTCACAAGGGAAGACCCAGCTTCTCTGGGCAACTGTGCTAGGGCCTCAGCACCCTCACAATAAAGGATTTCTTCCTAATTTCTAACCTAAAATACTCTTATTTCAGTTTAAAGCCATTTCCCCTTGTCCTGTCACTACATGATCTTATCAATTTGAATAAATTACAGTTCACAAACCAAGGAAATTATAGAAGCTTGGGATGAGATTGACCCCTTGGTTTCAGGGGTCAATATTTTTTTTACTTACCCTAATTACAGATGGTTGTGCAGAGGGCTGTACAGTCATAAGATAACATGATTTGTCCCAAGAAGGTGACAAGATGCAGGATGAACCTGGTTGTTTTATTTGCCTATTTGGTAGTAAAGGCTGGCTTAACTCAAAGCTGGTTTTAAAAGAAATAAATCTATCCATTGAATGAAAACATTTAACCCATTCTTATGCTTTTGACAATGTTCAGGTGTTCCTGAAATTGAAAATGCTTTGTTCAGAGAAAATATAATATGATCTCCAGTGCATGCCTCGTTTCCCAGCTCATAAAGTTGCTAACTGAGCCAAGGAGCTCAGCAACACCACTGTACCTGTGGAAACATCCTCTGCTGCAAATGGCATTTCACTGATATCTGGATTGCTTCCTTTGCCAAAATGCATTTCTGGCAGCTTTGCTGTCCCTTTCTGCTTTCACCACTCACAGCCACTGGAGGGGTTTGAGCAGGATCCTGCTGAGATGTTTTCCCCAAAGAGCAAGGCAGCGTGCCAAATTTCAGCCCTCAGGTCTATTAATCACCAAGTGGGAAATTGTAGGAAATCATTATGGGTACAGTCATATCAAATAGAACTTTACCATCTGATCAGGCCTCTTCCTGGGAAAGAAATTAATAGCAGCAATGTAATAAAAGAGGTTTTCATATATATATATGTGTTTTCTTAATGAAGCAGTCATTTACTATTTCTGCCTCATGGTACTAGAACTCCTCAGAGAGGAATTGCTGGAAAATCCTCCCACAGCAAGGCAAAAAGGGGGAAAAAGGAGGGTGAAGATACTCTTATTTGCTGGTTCATTTTCACTGCTTATTCACCCAAAGCTGTAAATCCCTTCACAGAAAGAGTTTGGCTTTGCTAATCTGTAAGCAAGTGTTTTTATGTGCATGGGGATAGGAGTCATTCCTTAGCCCCCACCGCCCCAGCTTGAATCACAGCCTCATTTACACATCCAGTTACAGCTGTTGCTGATGGAGAATGGGAGAGTGAGTGTGCAGATGATCATTATCCACAGGGGTGTGGTATCCATAGGCATTTGTGACTGCATGTGTCACATGCCTGCAGTCTGGGAATCTCTGAGGTGATTGATGGAATAAAACTTTGCCATTTTATAGGACCACTAAGTGTGAGTGAGACCTCCCCCTCCTATCTCTGGAATTATATGAAAATATCCTACTTTGGAGTAAAGCTCTAAGAATTTTCATAAATTTTAATCTGCAGTAAATGTTAATAATTGGCCTGTCCCCTCTGTGTTCCAGGTGAAGGAAGACTGGAAGTACGTTGCAATGGTCATTGACAGGATCTTCCTCTGGATGTTCATTATTGTGTGTTTGCTGGGAACTGTTGGGCTCTTTCTCCCACCATGGCTGGCAGGAATGATCTAAATATAGCACCAAAGGGAAGAAATTATTGTTCCTACTATCCCACTCTATGGATTTTAGTTCACCTGGAAGGAGAGAAATGGAGGCAGCCCTTTGAATAATTCACTGCGTGTCCGCACTTGAGCTGCTCCCGAGCTCTCGGGGAATCCTCTCCGAGGTCGCATTGTTTTGCCAAGCCATTTTCATCTCCTCCATCGAAGTTAGGGGAAAAGTTCTTATCAAAGTCTGTACATAGCATGGGGGCATTCATTGGCATGTATTCAGCAGTGTAAGAACACGAGCTTGTCCCTAAAGCAGCACAGAAAGGAGCTCTGCATCCACAAACCAGCCTCTGGCAATAGCTTCAGTCACCCTCAGCAGTCTCACTGTGCCCTGCCCAGTGATTTTGCCCTGTCAGGCTGAAGTCTTTCAGGACTGTGTGTCCCTGTATAAGTCATTTTATAAATAAAGTTCCAAATTTGGGATACCTGTGCAGAATGTGGTCTGTGCTCAGCTGGTAAAGGCAGAGAGTCTGGAAAGGCTTAGATGACTGCTTGGGACCAAGAGTGGTAAAGAACCACCACAGGATTCAAGATTAAACTGGGGCACTGAAAGAGCTGTAAAACCCTTGGTGTAGGTGGGGAAGGTACCTAGACATGGGGAAGCCAGAACAGAAATCCAGGATGGTGTCAGGATAATAAAGGAATGTGCCAGGGTCACCTGCAGCAGGTTATTTAGGTCCTAGAAAGAGAGAGAGTCCATGACCTCCTGGGGCAGCTTCAGTGCTCTGCCACCCTCAATGTAAAGCAGTTTTTCCTCACGTCGAAGTGAAACTTCTTGTGTTTCAGTCTGTCCAGATCAGTTTGGTCTGGCTCACCATTCCCACCCTCAGTGCTGGATGCCAGCTGGGCCCACAGCCCAGTGTCTCCCTGCTTCCTTCAGAGCCCTCAGAGGCAGAAGGGCTTATGAACATTTTACCGGTGTGTGCAGGCAGAGGCAGATGTGGTCTAGAAATGCAGCTGCCTCAGGACCTGCCGTGAGAGCACAGCTCAGACCAGGCTCAGACCAGGCAGCTCCAGGACCTGGGCTTTGCCCAGCACCTCCTGCACGCCCCACGGCTGGGATCAGCATCAGGAGACTGTCTGGGCTCTGGGAAGGTTACCCTGCCCTGAATTTAGGGGAATGCACACCGGGAGAGGCAGGCAGCTGCCTGGGGAGCAGCACAGAAGGTTCTGGTAGAAGCCAGAGGCAGGTGAGAGCCCAGCTGGGACGTGTGGCAGCCCTGTGTGCTAGCCGGGCACATGAGGCTCGTTCCTGCCACACGGCTCAGCGAGCAGCCTGTGGCAGCAATGCTGGAACCCAAACAATGGCGTTTAGAGACTTCTTTGAAATACAAGTCAGTGCGCTCAGCCCGAACAGCACAGGTTAAAAATCAGTGCAGTGATCAGCCTGTGAGGCCTCATCTAAGAAACTACAACTGACCTCTGTGTTCACAGACTCAGCCAAGTGCTTAAAATGTGTTTGGCTCACAAAGAAAGCAGAGTAGCCATGGTTTGGGCCTGTTCCCCAAAGAGCTGTGCTGGCACAGCACGGGCTGGGAGGGAGGGAGGGAGCCGAGCTGCTGCTCCTCGTTGCTTGTTTTCAGAATGAAGAGAGCCTCAGCCTTTGGAGATGCTAATTTATCCCTTTTCACAGTCAGTGAGTTTGCTTACGGCAATGAAAGGAAAACAAACAGTCGAACATCTTCAAGGTCTAGTGCATAAATGTTCGGCACAGCTGCAGTGTGTGTGCAGGGCTGGGGCACGGCAGGGCTGCCAAGGCCTGTCACAGCCACCCTGGGGCCCGGGGTGAGGCCTCTCCAGCTCCTCTCCACATTTGGGGTGAAGGATCGTGAAGGTGGAATATTTCCGACCCTGGGCACTGCTGGGTGTTGTATCACAGCAATGCCCACAGCAGCTGCTCACAGCTCCCTCTGCCTCCCCCTCCTCCTCCTCCTGAACACATGGGAATCACTAGCAGCAGAGCAGGTGGGAGGCTTGGCTGTGCATGCACATTCTCAGCAGTAAAACCAGCAGTTTCCAACTGGGATGGAGTCAGCAGCAGCTCGAGTCTCTGCTCACAGCTCCCAGCAAACACGGGAGCCACAGCCAAAGCCCAGCCAGGCTGGCTGGGCAGCAAAAGCTGCTGCTGGACCCCGGTGGGCAGAAGGGAATGGCTTGGAGGCACCAGGAGCACTGATAAAGATTTAAGGACAGAATAAGAGCCAAATGCTCAAGGTGACATATTGGGAAGTTCAGGAGGGACAGGCACAAACTGTTCACAGCAAAGGGCTCATCTCCAATTTTCACCTTTTCTGCTCCAAGTTGTGGCCAGTGTATGCTGTGTGAAGGGCAGTGTCTCAGGGGGAGCGTGGCACTGGGACTGCAATGGAGCAGGACATGAAATCCTGGGCAGAACCGCTCTGCCATGCAGGAGGAGGTGGAGGAAAGAGCTCCACTAGCACATCAGAAGTATCAGGTGTGACCAGGAGTGCTAAGGATGTGATTGTGTCCCCGAAGAGTCAGTGCCGCTGCAGGATCACAGGGTTTGGTGGGACAAGATGAGAAGTGACAGCTGAAACCCCATACAAAGGTGTTACTGGTGTAGGGCAGGTCCCTGGCATCCTCTGCTTTGTTAATGTCATAGCAGCTTCCATACACTGATAACTACATCTCTTCGCATGTTGCATAAGTAGTTTCTCAGGTTAAAGTTCAAATAAATTCTTGTTTTTGCTTCTGATGTGCCTCCTTTTAAAGTCTAAGGGGAGAAATTAGGAAACAGCATCTACTGCTCTTTCTTAAGCAGGTTATTCCATCTTAGAAGTTGTTGAGGAGGATGCTATCTCCATAGGATTTAGTGATCAGAAACTGGAATAAAACTGGGACATGAACCAGACTATAACTGTAGAATAATGAATAATTGTGCTATTTCAAACCCATGGAACACAGAGGTTTTTAGCATATGAAAGACTCCAGGAAAATGCATGCAGCCAGACTGTTGGCATTTGTAATGCTCCCAGCTCAGAAATGATTCCCAGGACTTGAGTGAACAAGCTGACATCAGAAAAAGAGTGAGGAAGCAAGAGTGGGACACAACAAGAGCTCTAAAAGTGTCTTGGAAGGGATCCAGAGCTAAGTATATGGTTTCAGGTTCCAGGAGTGTAAAACTAAGCTCAGAGACACCAAAAACATCAAAGACAGCAGATATGGATGTTGATCTTTTCTGTTTCACTTGTGCAGGAAAGATTGAATCCTTACCATGGTGTTTGATGCTTTCCCTCCAGTTCTACTCCTTTGGGCATGAATGGAACAAAACTGACTGTAACAACCTCTGTTACCTCCATTGTTCTGTTTTTCCCTAAATCTCATTTCTCCTGCTTCCCTAATGCTCACTTTGGGCAGATCACCTTCCCAGCCAAAGAGGATGCAGGGTATTTTGTCTGCAGCTGGCTGGTAGGATGATCTGTGCAATCCCCATTTCCCCAGCATTGCCAGGGCTGATTCCCCAATGAATTAATCCACATAGCTTACAACACCTCCCTTTTGGAGAAGTTTCTTTAGACATTTATCAAGAAACTTGACTGAAGGAAATTCACTGGTGTAGAGGCAGACAGGCAGAGAGATGCAGATGTGAGATGTAAGATTCATGGGCAGTCCTAAGAAAAATACCCCCATAACAGCCCCACCTGGCTCAATGGTCCCACCTGGCCCTCTCCCACTGCAGTGATATCCATTAATCACACTTTATCCACTCCCAGGATATCTTTTTGTTTCCAGCCCTTTAATTCTGGTCCAGCCAAGCTGTTGAGTCATGGAGAAAGGGCATAACAAGCTCTGCTGCTTGTTAACGGCATTGCTGGTTATTCCTGTGGTTGTATCTTGCTCCTGAGACAGAGATAACACCTCAAAAAGATGCTTGTTGCAAAAATATCTGTTACTGAAAAGTCCTCAGCCTCTGCCAGAATCTACCTATACTTATACCTATACCAGGTGGGTCAAAATCTCAGTGCCTAAAATCTTGTATCAGAAAAGCTCCTGGGCTCGAGGAGTTGGGTTACAAAGCACTGGCACAGGCTCTGTGACACTACATGAACTAAATATCCTTGATTTCAAGTAGATAAAACCACTCATGGGACAAAGTTTAGGAAGATAAATGGACAAGTTGTTTGTGCAGGTTGTCTGTCTCCTAATCAATAGCCCTGCTGGGACCCAATTTTGTTCAAGTCTGACCGTTCCTGTTGTATCTGAAATAACCAGACAAAAGCACATGCTGCTTGAAATTCCATCAAAATATATCAAATCCCAACAGTGAGGGGATATGAGAATTTTCAAAAACAGTTGATACAGAAACATAAAGGAGCTCTGTCTCAAATCACCTGCGGTTAATAATCTGAACAGGCAGAACAGCAAGTTCAGAACTGGGAATTTGGCTGCACTGGTTTAAGTCAGAAAGGGAGCAGAATAACCTGAAAATGCAGATGTCCTCATTGCACTGCTCACCTTCCCCATTTTGTAAGCATTTCATGGTAAGAATTTTCTGGTCTGCTGTGTAGGTACCCCTTTTGCCTCCTTGCCTTTTCTGCCCACTGCTTTCACCTGCCAGTTATCACAGCTTTGGACTTTATACTCAGTGCTAAATTCAGAGCTATTCTAAACCAACTTAATGCAGGTTTGGCTCTGTTGTTTTGGTTTTTTTCCGAGGAATCTGTAAAGAACAGTTCCAAAGCCCTTTGACCTGTATAAACACTGCAACTCCCAACACCTGTGCAAGGTGCTCCTGTGAATGTGTCCCTTCCAAACATTGTGTTCCTTCTGTGCTGCAGCCTTCAGCTCCTCTGACCTCTCCTTTTTCTTCTGACTGGAGCTTTGTCTGCAACAACATTTCATCTGAGCTAAAAGGTTTTCATTTTATATGTCAAGGCAACTCTGGAGAGCTCCACAGTGAACAGAAATGTTACTTCTATCAGAGTGGCATTTCTATGCATTTTCCTACATTTTCCAAAGGGAA